GCATCCGTGAGTCTTAAAAATTGTTTGGCAATGCTTTAATTAATCTCACAATTTTTGTAGCAAGATTTGGTAGAAGTATTTCTATTTGAGAAAACATGTGTTTAAAGATAAATAAAAAGCAGAAATAATAAACATGGGTAATTTGTACAGTTTTGTTTTCTTTTTTTTTCCTTGAAATTGGGATGGCCAAAGAACAAAATCTGGTTATTCACTGAGACAAGGCTTAGAGCAGTGTCATTTCACCGATACTGATATCAAAGTTAGGAAGGTTAAGATACTTCCATTCAGGGACCCTGTCTTTTTATTTATCACCATATATTATTCCATTGTATTCTTTTTTTTTTTTTTTAAGGATTTTATTTATTTGACAGAGAGAGACACAGTGAGAGAGGGAACACAAGCAGGGGGAGTGGGAGAGGGAGAAGCAGGCTTCTCGCCGAGCAGGGAGCCCAATGCAGGGCTTGATCCCAGGACCCTGGGATCATGAGCTGAGCCAGAGGCAGATGCTGAACGACTGAATCACCCAGGCATCCCTCCTTTGTATTCTTATCTTCCTTATGGATTTGTAAACCCCTTTGGGGGTAGGGATTTAGTCAGTGATCTTTGTAGTTACCCCCATGTAGCCCTTACAAATTTGCTGAGTCATTAGAATATGGTAGTTGTCCAGTAGAAATTTCTAAAATTAAACAACTGAAATAAAGATCACATTTCATTGGTTTTAAAATCCTTATTTATGTTCACATTCAAACATCTCCAAAATCAGAATGTACCTTACATTCAATACCCTTTTACAATTGCTGTCAGCAGGGTACAGCAGTGGTGATCTGGCTTGGAAGAAAATCAGAGACACTATTTCCCTATATTCTGAATTATAAATGTTCTTAATGACAAAGAAAGATGTTGGGTAGACAACCATAGTCATCAAGAACTGGGATTAAGAGTTGGGTTGGTTCTGAGTGTGAAATTTTAAGAATAATTTAAGCAATTTATTTTTCTTTATTTTCCTTTTTACATCTACTAATGGGTGATACATGGTTTAAAAGGAAACCTAAGTATAAACAGAACTGAAAGACTTCTTTCAGTAACATTCTATCTCATAAGAAAACACTGTGGTAACTTAATTGGCATTATGTTTTACTTTGTAGTGAGACATAAAATAATGGCATATCTTGCAATTACTAAATGTTGTATGGCCTACGATTTTATAGCAGATAGTGCATTCTTCAGAGTGTCTTGATTTGTATCTAACACCATGCAATATTTTGAATACAGTATGCTTTTGGTTAAGTAGCATATTTCTAAGAGTTTGGAGAATAACAGATAACAAAACCACCATAATTCATGTTCACAAAATCACTAATGTTAATCTCAATACACTCAATTATGTTTTGCTTCCATTATAATCCTCCATATGAGAAATTTTCATTTGCTTGTGAGAAGAGTGGGGGATCTGAGGATCTATTTTAAATTTAGAGCCATTGGTGTCCAGCCTCCATCCCCAACACAGGACCATGCCAGGTGAAGTGAGACGTGAAGAAACACAACCTCCTTGCACCATAACTTACATCCTCCAAACTGGAGGGATAACATCTCCTCTAAGATGTAGTACCAGCTCACCAGGTGGCAGCAGCCATACTAGAACATCAATGCTACCGTTGACCTAGTGACTCACCTTTTATGTCAATTCCCAAATACACTTTGTCTTTTATGATCTCTGACTTTTCCATGTCTTTCCCTAATCTCAGTCTGTTAAAACTCTACCCAGCCTATAGAACCTGATGTAAATGTCACTAGATATTTCCTAATAACCTCAGCCAGAAGTTACTGGAATTTTTTATATGTCTATAGCTTTTGCTTATGCCTCCCAAACACTGTATCATAGGGCTATTAATTGAGATATTTTATTTTCACTGATAGTATAATCCTTGAGTACAAGGTAATGTTTTATAGATCTCTATATAATCCCACAATTTTGAGCTCTGCTTCTAATAGGGATTCATTAAATGTTTATTAAACATTAAATTGATACATTTGCTAAATTCCTAAACTAATACACAATCTGTATAATAATGTTTAATGCTCTATGCCATATTTGCATTTTAATGATTTTTTTAACTAAGAACATATAAAAACTATTCAATGGAACAGTTTCATAGTATCATTAAGAATATGTTACAAAAACTATCCAATGCAAATATAAAACATGGTTATTAAGGTTCAGAAATCTTAGTTTCCATTTATAATTAGTCATCATTCATCAATTATAAATAATTTTCTACGTATGTTAGACATGTATGCAATATTTGAGGAAATGTTTTTATATCCAACATCGTTTTGCGATACCCTGGTTAATCCCAGAAATCCATGTGGTAACATTCTCTAGGCCAACTTACCTCTCACAATGATGTTGGTGGACTTTTTTGCAGGGTTTCCCACATTATTATTGGCGATGCAGCTGTAAGTACCAGCATCTTCTGAGGTGATGGCAGGTATGGTCAATGTTCCTCCATTTAAAACAGTCTTTTCAGGCAGAGTCCCAAAGGACCTGACCCAGGTGAGAGTGGGTGCAGGCTCTCCTCCTGTCGTAACACATACTAATGTTACGGCCTCTCCAGGATTTACAACTATAGGGTCATCCACCAAGAGTTTAATTGATGGAGATGCTAAAAGACATAAACAAACAGAAAAAAAAATGCACTATTTAGATCTGTTACAAGTGGAATTCCACAGCATGCTTTATATTTATTCAAACAATTAAAATGGCATATTCTTTTCCTTTGTCAAAATCTTATTGTATTAATCAAGTTTAAACCAAATATAATGGTTACATATATTAATTACATGGTATAAACATGTAGAAGTGTATTAAGAATCTTACACATAGAGAGAGAGGAATCAAAATTTGTGTATTCTGAGATTATTGTTCCAAAATCAGAATGACAAGAAGGATTAAAGTTTTTAAACAAAAATCCCTTTCCCTTTGCTGACAATCACCATTTGTTTCTGTCCTTCCAGGTATAAATATTGCAGCTGTTTAGTCCTTGTATTTTCATGGTGGAGATTGTCAATTATTTAATTTTTGGATCATTCTGAGGTGAAATGATACATTTTTGTACCTGAACACGACTGAGTAAGAGATAAAGGCATAGATCATTCCACTCTTTTATCAAGCAGTGGGCCTGGTTTTTTATCTTGAAAGGAATAACAAAATCATGTAATTCTAATGCAGTCTCCATACTTCATCTCTCACCTCATTGTGCACAAAAGGTCTAGACAGTGAGTTCTCATCACCACTGCTTTAAAACAAACAAATGAGAGCTCAAACATAGTCACCAAACTGTGCCTCCCACCACTCAAATGTTTAGTTTATAATAATCTCCCCAGTGAAAATAAGTCATTTGCAATCTTTTAGCTTAAAAAATACAAAGATAAAATATCCATTCAAAAAAAATGCTGTGTTAGACTTTTCATCAAACACTCAAAATAGAAACAGCACAAAAATATGTATGTTCACATACAGCACTTCTTTTCTGCTTACATTGCAGTGCTGGCCTACAACAATGCATCCCTAAAGACAAACAGGGGGGATGCAGTATGCCGGTGTTTGATCTCACATATCCAGAGATATTTTATGCCGAAGTCAAAACTGTATTGTATGAAATCAATCCATATTAGAAACACTTAATGTGTTCAATTGTACTGTGTGATTTTTTTCGCTATTAACTTCAGCTTAGACTTGGAGAGTGTTTTTCTCAGAATAAAAGGTAAATTCTTGTGTGGTCTAATATTTGTCTTCTTTGTTAAAACAAAACAAAACAAAACAGAGGAGAGCAAGAAAACAATTCCCTGTTATTATCGTGGTTCTGTGGGATAGGCACAGTTTGCCTGGATGACATTTTTAAACATAATTTTTGCATGTTGGTCCTTCTAACATCATTTTAAGTAATATGGAAGTTTTCAAAGTATCTTAATAGCCCTTGTGAGGTGTTGACTTTAAATTATAAAGATTTATGACTAAAATTAGAAAATGTACATAGTGAAAAGTATATGCAAAAGACACTCATTTAGTAGAAAAGAAAATTCTCTGAAGAGTTAAGGTTGTTAAGCTGACAGATATTACTATTTAAACATTTTGAAAATAGATATTATATTTAATTATTGATATACTGCCATGAAGAAGTAAAAGAAATCCCTATAGCCCAATTGAGCCCAATTTATACTATAAATAGTATAATCTTACAAAGGGGTTTAGTTAAAATATAATTCTAGAGATTCCAACTTTTATATATTAACAAAGTTCATTTGTTTTACATCATATTTTAGTAAAATTAAAAGTCCCAAGGCTTAGGGGTCATTAATAACATATGTTTGGACTATGGAAACAGACAATGGTGACATTATCTCATGAAATATTTGCCTCTGAAATCAACTTGTACAAAGATGATTTGTTTTTCTATCAGACAGACAAATTTAAAGAAAAAAAGCTCAAGAAAATTCCAAAGCTCAAAAAACAATACATACATAACAAGACCATTGTTTTACCTGTAATGCACTAGGCAGAACTATATTCACAATCATATTTTAAAAAATCCTCTCTTTTCCAAAACTGAATTGAAAAAAGAATATTGTCCAATATTTTTGTTGTGTTTTGTTGAAGATGGCATTCATTTTTCTGATGATCCCTGATATTAAAAATACCCCAGGGGCACCTGGGTGGCTTAGTAAGTTAAGTGCCTGACTTAATTTTTGTTCAGCTTATGATCTCAGGTAGTGAAATCGAGCCCTGCATCGGGCCCTGTGCTGGGTGTGGAGACTGCTTGAGATTCTCTCTCTCCCTCGTCTTCTGCCCTTCCTCTGCACCTGTTCTCTCTAATTCAACATTGTCATAGGGCTTTTCAAAGCTCACGAGCAAAAAAGTATTATACCTATTTCATCATCTACCTTGCAAATGTTATTTTTTCACTGTGTCCTTAAACTGTCCAACCATCCTGAGTTTGCATTATAAGCTTAATCTTTAGCACTTATATAGTTGTATAGGAAATGAGAAAGAGAAATCTCATTACATTAAATCATGTAGGTAGCTGAATGTTCAGTAAATGCCTATAGCATGTGTTGGTCAGATTACCCCATCACTATATCAGTATAAACATGTAAGACCACAGAGCTCATCAGTTTCCTTCTTATTATGAGAAAAACGCAGTGTCCTAAAACATACTGTAAGATCTAGACATCCATACATTCTTCACAGCAACATGTGAGAGAGATTACTATTTTACCTTCATTGTTAAGTGATAAAAAAATTAAACATGAAGGTTGAAAAGGGGAATGATATCATTTTGAGGAATTCTGTTTAAAACAATGCTCCAGGATATGGCAGTATTTAAAACAATATTCATAAACAATCTCTAATTAGAGAGAGGCTTTGCTACAGATATTGAAACCAACATGCATTTTTCATTATGTTAATATTCACAGACTGGATATTTCTGGAAATGATTGAAAAGACAGAGTAAGTGTGCTCCTTCATGGAAATTTACAGAAAAGTCTCCTAGAAGAGACCTAGTTCATAATACCAGGGTTCCAAACCAGGTTGGCACAACATCTTTTGTTATTATCATTGTTGTTGTTGTTGCTTTTGTTAGGAAGGAATGTTTTTAGGTATGTTGCTTATTTTCCCTAGCACAACAAATTTCAACACATTCATTCATTCATTATTTATTGACCACCTACTATGTATTTAGTCCCTGTGATAGGCACTTGAGATCTACTGGTGAAAAAAACAGTCAATGAATCACTGCACTCAGAAGCTCACATCCTAGCAGGAAGAGAACTAGCCCTTTCCCTATGACTCTCATCGTCTTAAGTGACTTATATTTACATCACCTAACTGTTCTCTGGAGTTATGTGCACTTATGATCCCTGATCAAGATGCTTATGCCACATGAGCAAAATTAGTAAGGAAATTTGCCAAAAGATATTCATTATAAAATGAAACTTTACAAAATAGAACAAGTGTCATTCACATTTGAATCTAATCATTGAACAAGATAAATAGAAAAATTAGAAATGGAACTTGTGTTCTAAGGTGAACAAAAGACAATAAAATCAAAAGCTTTATTTCAGTCAATAAGCTATGTCAATAGTTGAGATACTAATACTTAATGGCCTTAAATGTCTTCCTAAACACTGGGAAACATGATGAAAAAGAACTTTAAAACCACATATATCTTGCTTCTTCAGTTAACAATCCCTAACTATTCTTGCCAAAATGTGAAATCTTGGCAAAATTTGGTTTCATTCAAGTTTACAAGAATCAGAGCATCCATCTGCTGCTGCAGCCGAACCCTAGAGGGTCATCATTCATGGAGAGAAATCCAAGCTAAAAAACACTTCCAACTAAGGAAATTGTTGTCCGCAGAATTTTCCTGTTCTTTATAGAAGATACCAGGGGCTTAAGTACAGTGCCAGTTTTAAGAGATGTCCTCTTCACAAGATCAGTAGAGCATTCTACTGATTCACTATACCTGCTGCCTGGAATTCTCTTCCAGTGCTTATCTACCTGGTAACCCAGTGGTCAGGTATTTTACCATGCTCAAATGTCAATATCAATTCCTCACTGGATTCCTAGTTTTTTGTCTAAGCCAAACGAGTTACTTCCCTTTGTATGACCATAGCTGTTTATTGTAACAACCCCTCATGCCCCACTATGACAATTAGAGCTTTTACCCCTACCCTTTCACTGTTAGATATTTAGGAATATCAGGGTGAAAAGGGTGATGTTTTTCATTTTTGTACCAATAGCAACCAGAAAAGGATCTCACAAAGAATTAAGTGCTCAATAATGTCTCATTAAATAAAAGAATGTTGAATTTAATGATTAGAGAACAAGATGCTCAACATCACTAATTGTCAGGGAAATCCAAATCTAAACCACAAGAAAATATCATATCACATCTGTCACAAGGGCCAAAAAAAAGGACAAAAAGACAAAGAGTAACAAGTGTTTTCGAGGATCTGGAGGAAATGGAACTCTCATATTACTGTGGGTGGGATTAAAAATTGGTACAGCTCCTATGGAAAACAGTATGGATGTTCCTCAGAAAACTAAAACTAGATATACCATATAATCCAATAATCCCACTATTAGGTATTTACCCAAAGAGAGTGAAAACACTAATTTACATATGCACCCCTATGTTGATTGCACCATTATTTACAACAGCCAAGATATGGAAGCTACCTGTGTCCATCACTAGACAAATGGATAAGGAAGTGGTAATATTAATGGAATATTACACAGTCATAAAAAGGATGAGACTGTACCATTTGAAACAACATAGATGCATCTGGAGGGTATTATGCAAAGTGAAATAAGTCAGACTGAGAAAGACAAATACTGCATGATTTCACTCCTTTGTGGAATCTAAAAACAAAATGAAAACCAAATGAATAAACAAACAAAAAGCAGAATCAGACCCAAAATACAGAGACTAAACCGATGGTTGCCAGAGGGGAGGTGGGTAGAAGTATGGGCAAAATGGGTGACAGGAAGTAGAAGATATGGGCTTCCAGTTATGGAATGAATAAGTCACAGGAATAAGAGGCACACAACAAGGAATATAGTCAGTGATATATTATAATAGTGATGTATGATAACAGATGG